CAGGCTGGTTTCGAACTCCTGAGCTCAAACGATCCGCCCGCCTCGGCCTCCCAGAGAGCTAGGATTACAGGCGTGAGCCACCGCGCCCGGCCCCTGATTTTTAATTATATAAACTGAAGTATACTTGTTAACTGTATTTCCTATTTTCTTTTACAAGAACCACCTGTTGATTTTAGAATATATGTTTGAGGTATTTTATTAAATGGATGTTCTTCAAAAAGTAGGTGAAAAAACGCTAAGTCTTTAGGTTAGATTTACAGCTCAGCATATTCTGAGTACTATGCAATGAATGATTTATCTTATGTTCTTTTCCAACAAACTATTAGTTTTGACCCAAGTATGACTGTGGGTAGTGTGCCAAGGGAAGAAGGGGTAAGAGGCCCAAACCTTACCTTGGAATTGTTGCTTCATATTATGTGTCTTCTTTTTCTTCTTCTTCCTCTTTTTCTTCCTTCCTCTTCCTTTCTTAGGATAGTGTATTAGGCAGGGTTCTCCAGAGAAACAGAATGGTGGGAGGATGTGTGTGTGTGTGTGTGTGTGTGTGTGCGTATCTATATCTATGTAAATATATATACATATGTATACATCTATCTATCTATCTATCTATATATATATAGAGAGAGAGAGAGAGAGGGAATTGGCTCATGCAGTTGTTGAGGACTGATATCCAAAATCTGCAGGGCAGGCCAGCATGCTGAAGACCCAAAGAGTTGCAGTTTGAGTCCAGAGGCAGTCTGCTGACCCAATTCCTTCTTCCTCAGTGGAGGTTAGTCTTTGTTCTGTTAAGGACTTCAGCTGATTGGATGAGACCCACCTACATTAGGGAGAGTAATCTGCTTTATTCAAAGTCCACTGATTTAAATGTTAATCTCACCCAAAAAACACCTCTACTGAAACATCCAGAAAAGTCTGACCAAATATCTGGGCATTGTGGCCCAGCCAAGTTGACACATAAGATTAACCATTACAAGTCCACCCTTGTCAATTTGGTACCCATAAGCATCTCCTGAAACCATGCTTAATATCTGAATAAAGACAGTAACAAGGTCATACTTCTGCTTAACATCATACAACTATCCTGTGTGCAACCAAAAATACATTAACCCCTTCCCCAGAAGAGGATGCAAAGTCTAGGTGATGTTTACCCTTCTCCTTAATATGTCCTATAACTTAAAAATTCTGATA